TATATATATATATATATATATATATATATATATATATATATATATATATATATATATATATATATTATGCCGCTCATCCACATGAAAACAGTTTTCTCCCGGTAAGACAACGGTGCGCCAGTGAAAATGTAAGAAGTAACAAGTTAAAGGATGCACTGCTTTCTATACATCCATTCAGTGCTGGGGAGGAAACCCATCCCCATGGATACTGTTGAACGGGCTGGTGAAGACCCTCTGCATGCAGTGGGGCTGGAGAACAGCATGCAAAGAACACAAGCAAACCAATGCTGCAGCTGTATCTCTGCCCTCAGGTGCCGACTTCGATACGAAGTTCGCAGCATGCGTCATAGGGATGCATGAAGAAAACACAAACATGACAGAAAATAAACACAAAATGTGACAGTAGGCAGTCACACTGGATCCCTGTAAATTGCTTTTAGTGGATCTGTAGACTATGCAAAGCGTGTAGGCAGGCGAGCACCCGGAGAAATTCATCATACGGTGGAAGTACGGCTATTGTATTACTGTTCGCTTTGGGGTCAGCGCGCTGACCGAGGTTGTATATTTACCCCCAACTTGGAGAGGCCACTGTTTCAATAGCTTTCACCTTTTAAAATGCTTCAGAGACCTGCAGCAGTCTCGTACACAAAAAAACTGAGACTCTCTCCCGGCAAGAGAGAAGGAAAAGCGGAGGAGAGTGAAACACTGGGTACTTATATAATGACAGTTGATGTCGCCAGAAGGGAGAGTATAATGATAAACGGTTAGGACACCGAAAATACGAGTGGGATTCTGAGGATCGCTTGCGCGAAACAAACCTTGACTCGGTGTAGGCGATTGCAAGAGTGGGCGTTGGTCCCCATTTAACTCTTCGTTAGACTTTGCTCGTTCTATAACTTACAAAAGGGGCACATAGAATTATATCTGCTTTTTCTCCGGCGCTGCTTAATTTCGCGCCGTGACTTGTGACTCGCCCTTTACGGATTGCTAGCTTGGCAACGCCAGCACAAGCGTCTTCATTTTTTTCATGTTTTGAGGTTTT